GTAAGACAAAAAAATGAGGGCATTGCTTACAAAATGTTAAATCCTGTTTATGTTGTAGGGAGCACGGATGATGTTTCAGGCGATAGCAGGTTCGTTATTGGTGGCCTGCTGGATGATAACCAGTGGCATTATGTTGTGTATTACCGCAAGAGGAGGGCGGTCCGAGTCAGCATTGACTCTATTCATATGCAGGGCTACACTAAAGGCAGCTTTTCGCGAATTGATCTTGATAGAGAGGTTGGTATCTTTTTTAATGCTCTTTTTTGTATATATTTCACAAGCAAGTACAGTTGAACTTGCCAAGTTCAAAGTTCAAATCCAAAATGGCATTGAAGAATTGTTCATCAAATCGTTAATTAATTTAAAACAGAACAATGTTGCATGTAAAATAATATCGACTTTGAAATTATTAGAGTTAGGCAAAGTCAACTTGGCACGTTTAACACTCTGACCGCCAGGGGTTTGAAAAAAATATCAGCCACCGCCACACTTTTTGGTGAATTTTAACTTTTTTCCGAACCTTGTACAGTAGAGAGTGTGTATGTGATCAGATTGACATGTAATAAATACGACAAGAATTACAAACATCTTATACCCAATTCACACGTACAAAAATCTTACCAAATGTAACCAAAAGTAACATTTTACGGCACGTGTGAAAGTACCTCCGTGTACTATCCTTGTAGAATTTTGGAACGTCTTGGTAATCTTCCTTCTGTAGACGATTCCGATCCACTAGAATTAGATAAGCCTAGTTTTTCTCAATAATGGATGAATTACCCTTGTTATCGATGTTAATTAGTATTGGTAGGAGAAGATGATACATAAATGAACATCGGGATGATGTTAGTAATAGTATTATCAAGAGTCGACAGAAACATCAGAAGCTAGGCCTAGGCCTAGTAGTTGTACAGTAGTACAGCAAGTTGTTAAGGGCATTTGATTGCTTCGAATGTTTATTGTGATGGTGAGTTCAACAGTCCATCTATGACGGGTTCTCAACTAGACCTAGGCTAGTCCTATATGGCAGTAGGGGCAAAAATGATTCATTGAATAAAATTGAATAAATTTTACACGACCTTGGAATTACCTTACAGGCGCGCGTGGATGCTTTATATCTCGGTAGGAATAACTCGGGAGATGGCTCGGTTACAATTTTTTACTTTTTGTTGAATTTAACTTCACGTGTGAATCCGGTATTAGCTTTACAGTGGTACCAAACACTTTAATCTAATTACAATCTTTGACCTGTAACAGTAAAATGAAAGTGACTCACTTTTGTTGTTTCATGCATATTCACACAATGAAGCTGGGATAACCGCGTTTCAGTATCGCTGTGCCATATGAGGTCACTGAGAATAGGTCACATTAAAATTGCGAAACACTTATAGTCAAGACAGAATATAGTGTTTAAATTGTTAGTACATGTCGGTAATTACCCCATCTATCGGATTCCATAAAAGAACCTGAAACACTGACATCTCGGTGTTTAGCGGTCAAGCATAGCGTTACCAAACACATAGTTTTTCAAATTTTAGGAGAAAAATAACCTGTGTGTCACATTAACTGGCTGAGGTAGGCCTTTGGACTGGTACCCATCATGTGTACATGCACACATTCAGGCAGAAGTAAACCTTTTATACAAACATTATAACAGACTATGAAACATAACAGATGGTATGTAAGCTACAGTAAATGGTGTAACCCGATACTTCGGTTTGGGTGCTCTTGTTGTTTATTGTTTTGGGGTTTTTTTTCCCCGGCTTTTTTCTTTGTTTTCTTGACTTCAATATTGTCAAGTGCATAGAGACCTAGTTTATTTGCACTATATAAATCCATCTATTATTATTATTATTATTATTATTATTATTATTATTATTATTATTATTATTATTATATCTGAGCCCAGAGATCCAAAATGTCAGTACATATACAGTACGTATTTCTTCTATAGAATATATGAAACTGCAGGAATCGTCAAGCACACATATACTGGCCAGGTTTGCATACCCATAGGAGGTCACAGGTGTTTTGTAAAACCGGACACTCACTCGTGTGACTTTCATCAGTCGATGCGAACCTATGCAGAACGTAACGTGACGACGCACGCGTAACAGATCGTTTAATGGCGATCTGCTCAGAATCTTACCGACAATCAGCAGATAGCATTGCGTCTTCTAGCGCTCACAGAGAGCAGAGTTGAGTTTGTTGTGCGAGGATCTCAAGACACAGTGAGTGCCCGGCATTAGGGTCAAGCATGCTGTAAAAAGCATGAGCATTCACAGCTCACTCCAATCCATGAAAGAAGAATATACTTTTGCACTATGTTAAAGAAAAGTAACCACAAATAAATAGAAGCTGAGATAAATAACGCTGAAGATTTTGAAAAAAACATATAAAACCAAATGTGTATGTCTTGTATTATTTAGGTTACTTTTGGTGGAACTCCTGACTTTTACAGACCTGGAATCTACAGGAACGAAGAGATTCCAGACCAGAATTTTAATGGATGTTTGGAAAATATGAATTTCAATGGTCAATTTGATGTGATCGGCACAGTCAAGAAGGAAACTAATAACCCTCGTCTAAAGGTACATGGTGGTCAGACATTCGCCTGTACTAGCGAAGTCGTGGTGCCTGCGTCATTCCCAACACATGAATCTAGACTTATTATTGAGAATACACAAGGTGGAGGTTTAAGGTAAGTCATAGGTTTGTTTGTTTTTTTTTTTTCAAAGGGCTTTGGGGTTTTGTAATAATGGACTGATCTCATCAGGCCAGATAATATATTTATTCATTTGTTCATTTATTTGTTTATTCATTTATTAATATTCATTCAATCATCATTTATTGATATATTTGTTTATTCATTTATTCATTCCATTATTCATTCATTCAGTCATTTATTTGTTCATTCCTTCATTATTCATTTATTCATTCATTCAAAAATTCATTTACTTGTTAATTTATCCATTTATTCATTTAATTTTCGGAGGGCTTTGGGATTTTGTAATCAATGACTGATTCCATCAGACCAAATCATTTCTTCATTCATTTATTCATTCAATTATTCATTTATATATTCATTCATTCATTCAATCATTTATTCATTCACTCATTTACTCATTCATTCATTCACTCATTCTTTATTCATTATTCACTCCGAATTCATTTATTTGTTCATTCATTCATTCCTTTATTCATATATTTATTCTATTATTTAATCATTTATGTATTCATTCGATTATTTATTCATTTATTTATTAATTCGTTCAACTAATTAATCATTATTTGTTTGTTCAAGGTGGAGGTAAGTTGAGTCCAACCAGTCATTCACATTATTCGCTCTTTTTATCATTAATTTTTTTTTTCATTCTGGAATACACAATCAATATATGTGTACTGGTTTCTAAAGCGGTTTTGTTATCAATATTTTTAATTATTAATTCATCTAATAACTCAATTTTAAATAAGAGCTTAAAAGTTTCAACATAATAACATTAAAAAAATTATTACACACTGTTAACAAAAATAACGTAACCTTATTTAATAAGTCAAGACAATTGATTAAAACCATCATAATAATTGGTATATAATTAAGTAGTGTTTTAATTGTTTTGAAATGAAGGTGAAATAAACTTGAATAGATTGAGGAGAAAAAAATGATTAAGTGACAGGGAACCAGTAATGGTTAGGTGACTTATCATTGGGTTTTTTCTTCCCTAATGCACTTGTGGTCCCCCTCCCCCGGACCCGGGCCTAGGGGGTGGGGGAGATGTAATTTCCAAAACGGTTGCATGCATGTGAGAGTCCCGGCAATGCGGGGGCTTTATTTTAACGTACATCCCCAGTTAAGTCCCTGCCACTTACCACTGTGGCCCTGGTCGAAAGCCCCGCTAATAAATGATTGGATGATAAGACCTATTTGAAGGTCCAGCCTAGGTCTGAATCGGAGAAGCATGTGAGAGCTAGGCCAAGGAAATGGGCTTGCTTGATGGAAGCACTACGCATGCGTCTAAGCAGATTTTCATGGAAGTTTGGAAAAGTGCAAAAAAAAAAGTAGTGTATTGACAGATTGATCATAGAAAAAAAAATCGATTAATTGATTTAACTGATTGATAGAATTTAATTATTCAATATCAAAACAGAAATTAGAAATTAGGCCTAAATAAGAAAATGAATACATGTAGTTGAAACAGGTTTTCTTGCCTTGGATCATGTACTGGCATATTTTTGGTGCAAACTAGGTCAAATTCACGGTTCACAAATTTTCACGCAACGCACTCACACGCACTGCCACCTCGGTCCTCTGCATTGTGGTGGTTAGAGGGTCAAATTTTATTACGTAATTTATACCGTGATCTATAAAAAATGAAACCATGATTGTAGGCCTAAAGTACCGGTAGGTGATTTTTTAATTACCAAAACACACGGTAGTTGCTAACTGAATTCCAGGCCTAGTGTAGGCTAGGTAGGACCAGACACGGTTTGACAACTCTAGGCCCCTAGGCCTAGGCCTACACACATGAAACCGCGGCTACTCTAACGTGCAAAATTCCCGGCCCTTCCGAGGCCTGTTACATCTACGGGTAAATTTTAGGTACCTCCCGGCACTACGGGGACACAACTATGTGTACATCCCTGGCTCAGTCCTGGTTAGTGCCCCACTATGGCCCGGGTCTGCGGGGGTGGGGGGACTACAATTTATAAGTACATAAGGCGAGACTTTTTTTATACCTTCTTTTCCTGATTTTGTTTTTTGTGGCGGAGGGTGGGTTAATTGGCCAAAAATAAAATTGTATTTTTATTATAAATCATCATTATAGGCAGGCAGCATGTTTGCTGAACAAGTTATAAAACAAGTCTCACCTATTAATAGGTAAAGAACGATGGACGTAATTTCTCATTAAATTAATCCAAAATTTATCAACTTTCACTTTCAGTGACATGAAGATTAAACTTCTTTTTTTTTTTTTGCTAATTAAACAACCTAAACTTCATTATATGTATTTCACATCTTGCTATGTTGATTCAAAATATTTGTCCTTTTTTGTTATTGTATCACTACTATATGGTAACGATTTTTATTTGTTAATGTTTAGTGTAAGCTTCAGGTTCAGAACCTACGAGACAAATGGTGTTCTGTTGTACAATGAACTGTTCACTGGAGAACCCTTCCAAATCCTTATTCAGGGTGGTTCTATCAATATCCTAGTAGGGAATGAACTCACTGGCACCACAATCAACAGCGATGGTATGTTAAACTGTTTGTCGCCTTCTATTTTATTTCATTTTCCTTTCATTTTTCATTCCTTTTCTCAATTTCATTTTTCATTTTATTTTTCATTTCATTTTTTATTCCATCTCATAGTTTTGCCAATGAAAATATATAAATGACAATAAAAACACAAGGTGAATCATTAATCAATAAGATGACGAATCCGTCACTTATTGACTTATATTTAGAGTGCATTATACGTCACAATAAAGGGTACGAAAGAACTAATAAAACTATTTCTCTATTCTGGAAAAATCTTTCAACGTACTTCATAAATAATTATGGAGGTTCAAATGTCGTAAAACAAAACATGAATTAGTATACAAGAAAATAAATTAAAGTGTAAAATAGACTTCTAGTAATAGATAAATCTTCTTGCACATAATAAGTTTTGTTTATAATATAGACAATTAATTGTTAAATTCCTTCTATAAGGTGCTGCTATTAATGATGGATTGTGGCACAGTGTCGAGGTGAAGATTATAAACGATGAACTCCAGTTCATAGTGGACGACTTTAGGAGTAGCACCATAGTTACTGCAACACCAATGAATATGTATTATATTGGAAGCGGTAAATAATTCATCATTATTTCTTGATGATTGACATTATTGTTTAGTGTACTATATGTATGTTTTTGGTTGGTATGCAGTAGAACCCCCCTTTGAGACATCCCTATTTAAGGGACACCCATATTAAGGGGACATTTTGGGAACTAAACGAGAGAAGGAATATCTTTTAACACTACAGCCAACCCCTATTCAGGAGACCCCAATTATGGGGACACTTTTTTGGTCCCAAAGATGTTCCTTAAAAAGGGGATCAACTGCAGAAACCAAATAAAAATGGTAGCCTACACCGGTGAGGGTCCAGGGGAGCACAGGACTCGGGAAGAAGCCAATTTCAACGAGAGAAACACTTGCACAGTTGCTTAAAAAAAACATTATTAAAGTCCCAGAGTGTAATTTACAGGCATCTATAGGTTCCTATTCTAACAGTTGTATCAAAACATGGTGTGGCAGTGGGTAAATTTGGAACCATATTCTGAAACTTAGACATCTATTCAGTGACTTCCAACCCCTGTTGGGACCTAAAGCCCTGTCCAGACTCTCTAGTTTTATTTGACATAAACATGACATGCCTGAATATGGTCATGATGTCATCACATCATGACCATATATAGGCACATCATGACTATATATGGCCATACAATTTTGTTTTTTTCAAAGATAATTTGGGAGTGTGGGCAGAGGTTTATACCCCTTATTGCTGAATGTCTGGCGCCACCATTGTCCTGCACAATTTTTTTGTTTTAAAAATTGATAGTCAAGAGATAGCTTGTTTATGTTATTTTCAGTTGATTCATTCAGCACAAGGTTTCTGACACGTCAAACCTTCTTTATCATAAACCTAAATTTTATACATGATTTGATTTCAGACAAGGAACAAACTAGTCTTGGTTTTCTTGGTTGTATGTTGGATCTTATGATTGGCAGCGTTCGGGTAAACTTTCAAGCGCTGACCCCTGCTGAAAATGAAGGTGTAGAGGTCAATACATGTGGCTTGTATGATTGGTGAGTAATTGGTGCTAGGTCTTACAAATGTTTTGTGAGTAATTGCATAATTATTGTTGCTGTCATTGAGGGCAATGTGCTGTTGTCGTTGCAGTATTAGCTGTACTAGACACCTTTTGTCTTCATACGGTATGTGTTATTGTTATAGTTTTTTTTACTGAACTGTTTTTGTTATCTAAAAAAAGTCCTTATTATTATTATTATTATTATATTATTATTATTATTATTATTATTATTATTATTATTATTATTATTGTTATTATTATTATTATTATTATTATATTGTTTTTTTATTATTTTACTTAGTATGTTCTTCTTGTGTACAGTAATAGATATAGTTTATATGATAAAAATTATACAGTATTGTTGAACCTATATTGCTGGAATAAGAATCTTACCACACATTTCAAGTGCTATCCTCAATGCTGTATTTCTGTTATTTTTTTTAAATTAATTATATTTATATACTTTTGAAAAGCACACTGCAGTGTGTTTATAGCCAACATCAATTTATTATTACTAATAAATGCTTCAATTGTAGGTGTACCCCCAACCCCTGCGAGCATGATGGAACATGCCAGGCATCATGGTCCGGATTCAGCTGCTTATGTCCGAATGGCTACGGTGGTAGTACATGTCATCGTGGTAAGTTCTTACTACCCTGGTTCTCCTGAATTAAGCCCATCGCAATACAAAATTGGGCCAATTTTGGGCCAATTTTTTTTTTTTTTTTTTTTTTTTTTTTAAAGAGTATTTTTAGAATTTGGGTCAAGTACTCATTCAAAGCATACCCTTGGCTCTTGCCCGATGAAAGACTGTACATAAATTTAGGCGTAAAATAGGTGGTGGGTTTATATTTGAGGAACTACACTAAGGTGGTTATTTCATTACCATATTTAATGAGTCCACTGATAAGTTTGATGTATTATAGTATAAAAACTGTAAAGGCTTGCAAGATATTTTCTGTAACAGAATTGCCAGTGTCAGAGTTTCATGTCAAGTCCCAGAGTTGTATAACAAGTTCATTAGCTCTTTTCTCTAATAAATTAGATTTCATACTGTAGGAATAATGTCAATTTTAATGAAGGCATTCAACTGCTTTTTAGATATAAAAACAGACACCGGAGGGTAGTATGCTCCCTGAAATCATTACATAAATGGTTTAATCATTCATTGTACTAATTTCATTTATTTCTTTCCATATATTTATTTAGCAGGTGCATTAGGGCCCCAAAAGCAACAAAGTCACCATGACAAAAGTCTGGAGCCCCAGAAAACTAAACCTAACAACATGCTTAGCTATAATTTAAAAATAAAAGTTAAAAAATGTAAAGAAAGTGATAGGTCAAGATAAAATAATCCAGAAACACGTTTAGGCCTGAATGCAAATGAGCCTGCAATGACCGCTTGCAAGAGCAAGTACACTCACCACTTACAGGATGAGGATGATGCTTTATAAACTAAGTCTCTTTATGGGTCTTAGGGAGTGGAGTTGTTTTTAGTCATGAGAAAAAGTCCTGCTGTGACAGGAATTGAACCCAGAACCCTGGGATCAGAAGGCAAGCATCTTAACCACTGAGCTATTCAACTCCACTCCACTTGCGCACATTAACATTGTAACTGACACTTTAGTAGATTTATTTTGTAAAATCAACATTCAAAATTCTGTTGGCATTTACCAAAGTATATTTGAAAACAAAATATGTTTTTTATTATTTTAATATTAAACTTTATATTTGAAGAGAAGACTGAAGTAAAGGGGCCCTTGACAAACAGACATACAACAATATAAAACAAAATCAAAAATCAAATTTAACATAGTTTTGAGCATAAAACAGTTACAAAAATAAATAGAAAAAACTAAAAAAAAAAAAAAAGAACATGATAAATATAACAATGTAGAATAAAAATAAATAATTCATTTGTTTAGTATATTACCATTACATTCTGATTTTTAACATTGAGTATTAAAACTAGTTTTATTTTGATGATGTTTAAGCTAATTAATCATTATTACAAGAGCACATATAATATTACATTTACATACCTCCAATTTTGGTTTTTAATATGCATAGACTGTAATCTATGAATGTTTATCACTTTAATTCACTGCATTTATTGGTACACATGTGTATGATACATATATCAAACTAATAGCTAACCAAATCAGGTTTGAGTTTCAATTCTAATCACTGTATTTACAGCTCTGTCAAAGAGGTCGTGCGATGCAATCCAGCGCACTTCAGGTTACAGTGGAAATCAACTGATAGACATCGACAGTAGCGGACCCCTAGAACCGTTCTTGGTTAGGTGCATATTTGAAGGTAAATTTTGGCAACATTGTCTTCTTGTCAGTCAGCCTTCCATTTACCATAGAGACCAGTTGATAATTAGCTTGTTGAAAGTTAACAGATGGTTGTGACTGCATTGCAGTTTACAAAATGAAAATAAATTTTCAAAATTTATTGAGGTTTAGTTAATTTTGATTGATAAACAGTTGATAATATTTCTTTTGGATGGATACTCCATAGTAAATGTGGAAATGCAGTTAATTGTATTTGGGTGTACATTTCAATTTCTGATAAATTTTACTAAACTTTCATGAAATGAAAACGTGACAGTAGTAAATCTTAAGTATTGATAACAGCTCATAATTATTAGCATACGAATGTCTAAGTGTGAGAAGCCTTATAATAATTTTTCTCATAACTTTGACAATAATGAACTTTTAAGTAATTTTTAGGTGTAAACACAACACTAAATAAGAGGTTTCTCGACCTTCTGAGTCTTAGGTTCTGGGCTGGGGGTGGGGGGTGTTTATTCATGTACTGTAAGTTTCTCACCTATAGACTACCAAGTTTATTGAACTGAGTTTTATAGTTTGAAGGAGTTGGGCTAATATCAAGATGATATTACTTCATATTCATTGATCATACACAAGTAAAAAATTAACATGGTTTCAAACTTTGGTTGATTAGACATGCATTACATTGTCTAAAATCTTACTAAAATGATACACATACCAAAGGAACTAAGGTATACAATATATTGATATTAATAATAGTATGTTCACTACAAACCTTGCTACACTCAATATTGCCCTCTAATATTAAGGTGCAACTTATATTTTACCAGATGGTGTAGTGTTGACTGAATTGGACCATAATTCAGAAGGGGAGATCAGAGTGACTGGATCAAATGAACCAGGATCTTACAAACATGACATTGATTATGATGGAGTAGGCATGGATCAGATTCGCATGCTGGTATCAGAGGCTGAGCACTGCGAGCAATACATCAAATATAGATGCAAGAAGTCCAAGCTACTCAATTCGCCAAGTAAGGAAAAACACTTTATATTATCATCATTTTCAATAATAATAAGGATGATGATAATAATAATAATATTAATGATAATGATAATTGTCAATAACAACAAAAAGCGACAACAAAAGCAAGTTTTATTACGCATAATGGTGGTAAAGTTTCTATGAGTTTGACACAGAAAAGAATGTTTGAAAGTCATACCAATTTGGCACAACATGCAAGTTCTCTTTTCTTTTGCACAAGTTGTAGAAGTTTATCAGGAATAGGCATGATCTCCTGTAATCGGGCGAGCTATTAAAATTCTCCCAGAACCCATTTTTAGGAAATTAAAACCAAATATTTGTTTTCAACTCTGGCTTGTATTTGGTAAGAACAGTCAAACATGTGAAAGAAATATAATTAAAAATTCAAACCAAGGTGAAAATGTCTATTTTGTAAATATTTTTACAAAACTGTATAAACTGATAAATGGAGAAGTTTCCTCTGAAACTTATACCTCTTGAGTACAAAAGAAGAATAATAGAATTATCCTAGCTTACCTATATGCTGTGTGAATGAATATCATTCTTGTTTCCCTGTCAAACCAAGGTGAAGATATTTAAGATGTAGTATACATTTTTTTTTGTTTCAGATGGTCCTCAGTATGGTTGGTGGGTATCTAGCACAGGCGAGAAGATGGATTATTGGGGAGGGGCAGGCCCTGGTACTAGAAAGGTATATATATTATTTGATGTGGAAAATATATGAATAAATATGTAGGACAGCATTATATAATATACTTATTCTTGACAATGTACAAATCATACCGAGAGCAGTGTAGTGCTGGTGGTAGCCACTGTGTGTCCGCGGATTCGTTGAACTCTTGTGCTTTTGTTCAATTCTATTGAGCTTATCGTCATTAAAAAAAGGACAATTTGGTTTATCAAGGAGGCTGCATTCATCACTATTTGTTTGTTTGTCTGCTAGCAGGTATACACATAGACTAATGAGTATATCGTAATTAAAAATTTAGAGTGTGTACATTTTTCTGTTGTATGGACTAGTGTTTTTGAAATAAAAGTTTGATTGATTGATTGATATTGATTTAATGAAGAGTTGATTAAATTGTTTGGGTGAAAGACTTTAAGATTTCAATTTAATATAGTTTTTTTGAGCATAAAAAAAAATAATAGAATTGTTGCTTTCACCCATAAACACATTGTGTATTAATTGGGATTTATGCGCAGAACAGTGGTATGACCGCTATGAATTGACTACACTCCAGTTTTACAAAATCTAGTCTCAGAAATGAACCAACTACTCATCCCCGATTAATGATTGCTTATTGGATCTTTTTGCTAGGGACATGTTATGATATATTATTATAATATTATTTCCTAAAGTGTGCCTGTGGAATTGAAGGAACGTGTGCTGATTCCAATAAATGGTGCAATTGCGACATTGACGATACAATCGAGCGGGAAGATTCCGGTATACTGACACAGAAACCATACCTACCAGTCGCACAGCTTAGGTTCGGTGACTTTGATCCTCAAACCTCCACGGGTTACTACACACTCGACCCACTAATTTGTCGTGGTGAAGGTAAGGACTCTTAATTTCAAATTTGAAAGTATCTGTAATAAACTTCTAAATAGGTTCATTTGATTATAAATTTTGTTAGAGAAGTAGTTGTACTAGGCTATTTGTTATAAAATTTATATTTAATTTTAATTTGTATATAATTTTTATATTACAATTATGCCAATATTCAATCTTTTTTTTTATTTATTCATAAGAGGACAATGAAAATAGTAATACTGGATTGATAGATGTGTAAATACAGTAATATAAAATTTCATATGGATGTAAAATAACATTTTTAAGTACATTCAGAGATTAATAATATTCATACATTGTCAAAATTAGAAAAAACTGATCTACAGTAAAATATGAAAAAAATAAAGTGATAAAAAAAAAAAACAATTAAGGGCCATGAAGATTTCGGAAGGTAAACTTAAAATAAAGAAGTAGGATGATTGTCGATTGCTGTAGTCAGTGATCGTTTCAGATATTTTCTGACAGGGGGCTGGCAGGTTCGAACCAAGTGGCTGACTAGAGCCTCAGTCAGAGTCCTGAAATAAAAATTCCTTGTAAGGTTGGTTAACAGGTAGAGTTTTTTTTATTTAGTATGGCCCTAAAGCTATTGTACCACAATATTAGGAATTAGCAATCAAATGAACGTTATTTGGATAGGCAAATTATGGGGTGTACAGGCTTGTCCGGTGGGGGTGGAAATGCCTTTCTTGACCTCCCACTGGCGCCCCCACAGGCTGTATATACAACAGCTGATCTTGCCAGAGTAAACATAAAAGTATTTTTCCTGATTTCAAACAGTACAAAATCCTGTTACGTTTCGAGACCAACAAGCCCATTTGAAGTTTGAAATTGAATTGACCGCTGAGGGCGGTTTCGATGTTTACCTTGAATTCAAGACGACTGTCTACCCAGCTGTACTGCTCAATGGCATCCACGAAACATACATAGATTATCTTCAGTTGGAGTTGATTACAAACAAAAAGATGGTATTTTCCCTCGATTACGGTGCGGGACCAGAATCCATTAGCATCGAAACCGATCAAGAACTGACAGACAACATGTGGCACCGTGTCTATATTGAGATGGATCCCCTCGAGATGTACCTAGAGGTAGACGAAGCTAATGGCGTAACACGCCCATTACCTTATGGTGATCGTAATGTACTATTTGATATAAATCGTGGCACACTATTTGTAGGTATGTAAAATGTTTTATCCATATTTTCTCATCATTATCTTCTTCATACAGTGTATTATTACTTTTTTTTTCTTATACCTCATTATTTTTTATTAAAATAATTTATTATGTTGTAATGTGATACTTTCGTAGTCTTTATGTGTTTTAAATTATGATTTCTTGCATCAGTGTCAGCCTAACAGCCACACAAAATGCTAAATAACTCATGCCTGAATTGAGATAGGTTACAGAATATTGTTGAATAATTTTTGTTATACAGTGTCATTCCATGCCAAATCACCTAGAGGACCCCAGGTAACCCTTTCAGATTTTGCTGAAAATACAGCAAAATGTTGCTTTATTTAGATATTAACACCCAAAAAGATTTTGACCAAAGTGGGTAAACCCTATAGAGGAAGGGCAAAACTTTAAGAACTGTTTCTTTTTGGGTGGATAGTTGAACATGTACAAAGCGGTGTGGTGCAGCGCGAAATGGTTTGGTAATAATAATAATAGTAATAATAAAAATAATTATATTAATAATAATAATAATAATAAGTTAGATTTATATAGCCCTGTACACTAATAAAAGCCCCAAAGTGCTTAAATATGATTATGATTATATGAATTCCCAAACAAGAGGTCAGGGTTTCAGTCCCTCGCTGTGCATTTCGCTTGTGTCCTGTTATCTACATTGCTTCTCTCCATCCAGGAGTATAAATGGATAACTGGCGGGGTTGCCTGCTTCTGCGCTGATTACCAGCAGCAAAATGTGGATCCAATGACCAGAGAAAAGAAGTGTACTTTATAACCTCAAGGAAGAGCCATTAAAATGCCTCTCTACCAGTACCAGTATGCAGTTACCCATTGGAATTTTTTTTTTCCTTTTCTAGAAATAAATTTGATTTAAATTTTATTCTCCGTGGCATTGTCTGAAATTACCTTCTCTTTTTATTATACCATTCATAAGCGTGTATTCTATCCTGTTTTCTAGGTTCAACAGCCAGTCAAAGCAATGGGTATGTTGGCTGTATGCAAAGTTTGCGAATGAATGGAAAGCCAAAGGATATGGTTGCGGCTTCTAGGCATGCATATTATGTTGTTCAAGGATGTACTGGCCACTGCGATAGCAGGCCTTGCATGAACAAAGGCACATGCATTGAACGCTATTCTACGTTTGAGTGCAATTGTGAGGGTTCAGCATTTGCTGGCATGATTTGTACACAAGGTAAATGTTATTCAGGAAAATTGATTTTTTGTTAGATGATTTAAATGTTAATAGTGCAATGATAAGGTATTTTGTTATATATTAATTCACAAACAACAGTGTTGCAGCCAAATTCCATGATAATAAAATATGCGGAACTCTGGATGTAATATCAAAATTACAATAAATCACAAGTTAATATTAACACGTTGACTGCCAGACCTTTTTTATGGTTCCTTCCCGTGTGCCAAAACAAGTTTACATGTACAAACATACTTTTTTGATATTTTGTGTATTCGTATATCATCAAAATGATGTGTCAAGGAATTGGCGGGAAAATGTTAGGGGGCAAGTAGACTCGTCAACGGCACTGTGATAGCACTTTTTGGCAAGGGCGAGTTATCTCGTCCGCTTTTTGCATGGGTTGGTATATGTTCAATGTGCGCCTCCAAGTGTGCAGCTCGAGTGTACTACCGGCAACATAACACAACAAACATACGCCATTTGTACGTTATCGTCCAGGTGTATCGTTCCCGAACTACCAGCCATTGAGTCTAGTTTTACAATGTATAACAAAGAAGTTATAAATGCTAGAATGTTACCCTGATTTTGACGAGTATACTCGTCCCTGGCACCCTTAGCGGCACCCTGTGCGCTTGCATACTCCTTGCTGGCAGTCAACATGTTAATAATAAGTTGGTTTTAATGCAATATGTAAAATTGAGCCATTCGTAATTATATCTGTTAATATTATTGTTCTGATATTTTTTATGTAAGTATTAATTGTAACATATTTTTTATGAACACATTAACCCAAACGTTGCCCAATGCATATATAAACAAAAGGGATATTTAAAAAAATTGCCCAATTGAATATATATAAGTATGTGTTTATTTTCATTTGATAAAATATTTATATTTCTATAGAACAATTTTTAATGTTTTACGATCATACTTCCTAACTTTTTCAGAGGTTGGAGTAGATCTTGACGAAGGTTCAGAGGTTAGTTATACCATCCCAAGTCAAGACTCATTAAATTCTGTAAATGATGTTATCGTTGCTGGATTCTCCACTGTTCAGAATACAGAAGGCCGTATTGTTCGTATTGATTCCCATGCAGGCAACAGCTTTATGGAAATAAAACTTAATTCAGAAGGTAAGGAAATAATATTAGGGCCTAAATGTAGTTTAACATTTTTATTATGATGCTATTATTTTCACAAAAATTTGGAGTAGTTGTCTTGATGCATAAGCAGAATTGTTGCAGCTTATGTATTTCTTTCCGGGGGAATGTTACATTAATAAGGTGCAGTGACATTGAAATTCATTATAAATGTGCTTAATGACAGTTTCAGTTTTCAAAAGAATTCTTCAATATTTTTGCAGGTTGCATTCGCCACTAAGCTATATAATCATCACCATCATAATCTCCATGCTATTCATTGTTAGATAACGCCCATTCTACAATCATTGGCCAGTAATGTTGGTCATCGGCCGGATACATGCCAAATGCTTGGTATTCAGTATCAGTTCGTTTTTAACTTGAATGGTCTTTTAACTTTTTTTTTTTATAGCTTTCTTTAATTTAATTGCTATTTTGGACTGGGAATTTTGGAATGTTCAGGAGTCTGCCTAAATGTGCATACTATTTTTTTCCTTCCTTTTTTTTAAATTTATTTTTTAAATTTATTAATTACAAAATATTAGGAAGAAAATACAATATAAAATGCCCTCCATGAATAACCAAAAGTAAAACACTATCAAAGGTTCTCCAAGGCTTTGTATTAGTATAAAATTGCATCTACCCTTTCTTCATATTATATAGTATCTGTTTGGGCATTTTATCAAATTATTTGATTCTGAGCAATTATGTAGATTAATTTATGTCGGAAATTTCAGGTTTCCCTCTAATTAAAGAGCCCGCCAATTAAAGACCACCTCCATTTAAAAACCACTTTTTCTGTTGTCCAAAATTAACAAATGTTGTTATTTTAAATCGAGACAAAAGCTGGTAAAGACCACAGAAACCCTGGTCCCAAAAGTGGTCTTTAATTAGAAGGAGACCTGTATATAAATTTCCTTCATTTCAGACATTTACTGTCCATAGTTTGCTATTATATAAAAAGAGACTTATACTGTAACTAATATTTTATACCTCACTGAATCCCAATACAATAGGACCTCGATTTTACATGCGGTACGGGACCGGAGGGCATACGTAAATCGGGGGATTCGTAAAATCGAAGTTGGGTTAAATTTGTGGTAACCTTTGACCTAATACGTGTGTAACGCTCAATAAATATATGTTATGAATGAACGATGTTACCTAGGCTAGACCTAGCCTCTAGGCCTACGAATAAAATCATGTGTTTAGTGTTTTTATTCATCACTTTACGATGTCATAATAAAGTGTTCAAATAAAACCATTTGTCTAGTGTATTAATTCATCACTTTATATCTTTTATTTAACTAAAGAACATGAAAATATTGTAAGATTACCTATACGACAAAGGTATTCTGTGACTTGGGAATTCTCCTTCATGGCTATTCTAAACAACAGAGCTGTGGTGTTGTCTGGGCCTGATGCTGAGATAATCTAAAACCATGTGCGCTGCACTGGGAGGTCAACCAATTAGCGTTCTTGTACGAAACTATGCCTACTCAGCTTCGTGTAAAAAATTCGACCAGACAATTTTTCCACACGAAGCTAAGGAGGAAAGCAATTATTTTAAGCACCATCAGTAGTTGTTCATCTCACTCAGTTCAAGTGGTTTTAGATTATAAAAACCCGGTATTACACTCAATCAACGTTGCTGTTTAATGAAAATACGTTGCATTATGGTTTGTTTATTGTATAGTTTATTGTTATAGTTTTTTGACTTATGGTTGCTTTGAATAGGGCTGTTTGTTTTGAATATTTTCGGGTTTTTTGATGACGTCATCATAGATACGAGGTGTACGTAAAACCAAGGGTTTGTATAACGGGGGTTTGTAAAAACAAGGTTCTACTGTAGGTATAAAATACTATCTAGGCTCTATATAGAATGTTATATTTTTAAGCCCAAGTTTTCCACTTTAGATAAACATAATCTTTGTTTAAATAGGTTCACTTGCTTGTGAGGTTTTCTTTTCTCTGATATTGTAATTTTAGTTTCTTCCTTGTTTTCCTGTACAGGTGCAATACAATTTAGCTTTGCATTTGGAGATGATACAGGTTCACTAACAGAAGATGTAGGAAGCTATGCAGATGGTAATCATCATGTTGTTAAGGTAAACAGAATCGGAAATGCCTTTTCAATGATGGTGAGTATAAAAAAATAATGTTTTGGTTTTTTTTTTTTTATATTTTGACGATGCTAATGACTATTAATTGAAGGTTTAAAAACATTTTAAAAAATTCTTGCTAAATAATAGATAACTATTTATTATTTTTCTCATAGCCCTTTAGATTGTAAGAAATTTTGTAGAAAAACATTCTGTAAATCAGTGAAAATTTAATTAGTTTGGTCCCTGTCTTATTGAAAGTTGGTAGCTTACTTAATGCATTACTTAATTCATGGTTTTACATGCAATTAAAATTGAAATTTTGTGGCATTTATATTATGTTGCCATTTTTGTCATTCATAATAATAATGGTGGACTTATAAGGCGTATATTGTCATGACCTCTATGCGCATCACAATGAAAAAATAAAGATATAAATATCAAAATAATATGTGGCTTAATATACTCCTACTCCTTCAACTAAGTTATAGTTGGCCGTTGACTCCGAAGAGCTTATCCGCCCTTTGTTCAACTGTTGGTTTTTCTCCCTGCTGGGTGACCATGGCACCCTCCCCTCATCAGCCACTAAGACACATCTGAGTGGGGTTGTCGGATTAGTCGCCAAGGCCTCGACTGGATGGAGTTTAGTGTTGTACCCAGGACAGACCTATCTAACTTAAGCTACGCTTCTTAACTACCTTAAGCAACACTTAACTACTTTTGGTAAAAAACTATCCCCGCCAGACACCATCCCGGTATCTCTAGGTTTCAGAGCTATTTTATTGTTTTTCCCCAGTATCACATACGCCTGACTTTTCTTGTCATGTTTTCCTTTGCTAGATTGATGAGACTTCACCGACGTTGGAAAACTTTGACCTCAGTGTTAGCACCTTTAGTAGTCCATCCAAAATCACGATTGGTAGCCCAGGTGAGTATTACTCATCCTCTTATTCTCAAATCCTTTGAATCTGTCTTCTTAATTGCTTAATACCACCAAGTCCTTGTGCTTCAAATGCAGCATTGTGCCCCTGCCAATTTATAGTGCTTACTTACAAATTTGATTTCCTACTGTATCTGTTTTAACTTCTATTCCGTACCACATTTAATATTGTTGTATGTACTATATTTAACTTTAAATCTCTCTTCTCAATTCATCATTCTTCTCCTGACAACTTGTAAGTCAATCAGGAAATTCAATATACCTTTCTTGCCGTTTTTGTACTACTAAAAAAGAGCACTCAAACAAATTAATTACTATGAATTTGGGATGCAATACTGCCCCCCAATATCTTGTTTTTGTAGTACCACAAAAGAGCAGTCAAACAAATTAATTACTATGAATTTACTATGAATTTGGGATGCAATACTGCCCCCAATATCTAAGTTACATTAACCTGTTTTATTTCGCCTCTGCATTATCCTCTACTGAAGTCTCTTATATTTTTCTTATTGTCTGACTCATGTTTCCTTATTTTCTTTTTTCAGATGGAAACAATCGGTTTGTAGGTTGCATCTCCAGGGTTCGTTTTAATAAGTTCTACCCACTGAAAATGTTCGACCCTGTTAGTCAACCACCAGAAATAGCCAGCAGAGGCCTAGTAGTTGAATCAAACTGTGGCGTTGAAGGAGCGACACTGCCCCCAACATCTAAATTACCATACCCTGATTTTACTTACAAGATGCTCTCCACTGTACCACCTGGTCAGCCCTCAGTAGCTGCAGTAAAGACAACTGGGGACAAAGTGTCAATTGCATGTAAGTATTGCATCCTATAAGTTTATATGTAATTATTATTGAATAAAAAGGAATCTCAGATAGACCTGGTACACCATCACAGCTATTACATACTTATTTAGAAATATTTAATATTTATTTATTAATACTTCAGTTCTTTATGTGTATTTTATATTTCAATTTTATTGTTTTGTGCAAAAATATTGAAAACATGTTAATTTTTGGGGTTTTAATTTGAAAGGTAATTGCAGGAAATGAAAGAAATGTTATTACCATTACTACCATTATTTTTATTACTATTTTATTATTATTATTATTATTATTATTATTATTATTATTATTATTATTATTATTATTTATTATTATTATTATTACTGTATTTTTATTATTATATTATGTATGTTACTAAAAGCTACCTTAAGGAAAACTAAAGGACAATTAAAAACGACGGGAAAATAACATGACGTTTATAGAAAAATAACACAAAAGATATTCCCTTTAAGTCTGATTAAGAGAAATTTGTATTATTATAATTGTTATTATTAATATATTACTATTTGTGTACCGTGTTATAAACATTTTGTCATAATTGTTTGTTTCAGTTGTTGTACTAGTATTATTTGTGGCTCTGGGCTCAATGCTTTTTGTCATTAGACGCTACATGAACCGCCATGGGGGAGAGTACCATACAAACGAGGACAAGGGAGTAGCAGAAGCTGAGGATGCAGATGCGGCTGTCAGGGCGTCAGACCCAAACCATCAGGGGGATAGGAGCAGAGAGTGGTTCTTATAGATGAGTAATGCCGGACATACATTATCATAATTCAGTTTCTGTCAGACATGACAAACATTTGTTTGGTCAAACAATATCTGCTTCAGTTTGGTCAAACAATATCTGCTTCAGAGATGGGAGCAGATCGTCTTTTTATTTAAAGTCTGGCAAACATTGCGACGATGCTCGTAGGCTGATGCTATCCCATGGAGGTTGCAATGCAATATTTGGCACGAGCATTAGATTGTTCTTAATGGCAATTCGCTCAGTCAGTGTTGCATTATCAAGCACTCGCACAGACATGGATCTGTCGCAATGCATGCCTGGCTTAAGAACACATGCATCTCTTTAAAGTATTTAACTTGAATATTTTTTAATTCAAATTTGACCAAAATATTAATAGAATATATGGACCATAATCTCAATGCATGGACTGTAATTCATATCTTTAAATTGTGGGATTTAGTACTGTGTAATCATGGAGCTATAATATGTATATTGTTGTTATTGTTGTGATTACAATTGTTAATATACCCTAATTTTTTTATCAGGCCAAAACCATATATTCACTAGATTTTTTAAAGTTTTTCTTTATGTATTTAGAACTGCTAAACATATTTTTAAATAGTTTTTTATTCAGTTATATTAGCTTTATTTTTTGTGAAGAGCTCCGAAAACAATTGTGAATGGCTGATATTTTTCAATTACAGTATAATTTTTTTTTTTGTGATTAGAAAAATTGTAAATGGCTGATACTTAATATCTAAAATTGAATTGTAAAGATGTAAAATAATTAGAACTGTTTGTACACATTTGCACTTCATAGATTTAAAATAATTTTTAAGGTAGACAAATTTTTTGGATACTTTTTGTTTAGAATTTTATTAATCATTATTTAAATATCTGTTTGTTTCTTTGATCAGTTATGTTTGTGGTTATTAGATTTCTGTAGTAATTAATTCTGTCTTAACTATTTATATTCCTCCATGTAGATTTAGTTATTTTGAAATTTTTTAAAAACTTTATATAGTACAGTAACTGTTTTAATAAGTACTGTATTTATTCGAGAACAAATTATTTTTAATCACTGATCAATTCATTCCTTTTAATATGAACAATTATCTTCGTAATTAGTGATATGATAGATTTGACTAATTGCAGATGAATTAATATTTTTTTCCGAACCGAAGAAAGAGCCAGTACTACTCAGTTGACAACACAAAAATGGGTCGTATTTTTATATGAATGTAGCACCCTCTACAATCCTCTAACAGATCTTGATATTTTTAAAAGTACCAGAATAAGTTGGTATGTCAAAAGTTAAAGCATATAAACAAGTCCAGTATAAGGGTTACACAAGTTGTATTAAAAAGCAAAATGAATATTACATACATTCATTCCATGCATGATGCTTTGACCTGTGTGAAGCCGGCAACACACTGTGCCTGACTGTCGCCGGTCGACACAATTCTATTGGGAAGGCAGCTCCACGACGCACACAACAGATCATTTTAAAAGACGATCCGTTCAGACTGCCACCAACAATCAGCAGACAGTGTCGCACCGTCAAGCGCTTACAGGGAGCGGAGTTAAATTTATCGGCCGACTGTTGTACAACCATCATACAATGCAGTGTGTGTGTGGCTTCAGTGAAGTCTACAATACTTACTGTGAACCATTACCATTTAGTACCTTTATGAAATGTTTCCTCTTTGAAGAAAGTCAACTATTTCTATATGAAAACAATTTTTTTGAAAACTAACTGAATAATTAAGCTCCAATAATCTATTTAGTTTAAAGTTATTTCTAGTTGAAAAGTTGGAAGTTATCATAAATGAAATATGTGATATTAATGAAAAGTTAAATATTTATATTATTAATGAGTGAACTGAGTTACCTGTGTACATTTAACGTGATGCAGTTGAGCATTTCGTTTCTAGTGTCTCCTCTTGCAATATGAACTTTGACCTTGATAATTACATGCAAATAAATTTAATCTAAACCTTGTGTAGATTTTATTCATTCCTTGTATTTATATTATAAGCTTGATAATTACTGACCTTTGCTTGTAGGTTTGACCTTTGACTTAACCGCAACCCAATATTGCTGATGTACATGTTTTGTACATGAATATAATATAATCAGCGGAAGCAGTCTATTTAATTTAATCTATTTTAACATAATTGGACATAAAAATATATATGGTAGATGTAATACTAATACAGTATGTATATTGTATTTAATTATGTAATATATTATTTTAATATAATATACAGCAATTTAATACATGGTATTGATATACAAAGCATGACAAAAATGTATATTAATGTTAAGTTGTATTGTTAATATTATATGATTACAAAATGTATATATAATTGAACCATTCTATGTATGATATGCAAGTGATAATTTAATAAGATATTCTGCCATCCTCCAGTGTTAGACTCTTCCATTCATTGGACAATGGTGGGTTGTGCCATTTTACTGATCATTTGCATTGGGTATTGCAGTCAAGTCTTTAGTAGTGCAATGTTTGTGAAAAAGTTGTTTCTCTACAAATGACTATTATTAAAAGTCATTTTTTTTCTTTTTGTAATCTTTTTAAAACTTGTTGGGAACTTGTAGAATAATAGATTGGTACATTACTAACTGTAAATACACAACTCCCTATTTAACAAGAGGTTGAGAAGTCTTAAGCCATGAATATATATTTTCTTATTGTTGAAGCAACAGTAGATTAAAACATAGTTGATTCCCAGTAGTGGGTCCAAGGAGATGATAAGGTGTGTTCTTTTTAGCAATTAAACTTGATTTTTAATAAATACGTTTTCCCTGGTGTTATTTGTTTCAAAATGTTTAAGATTAGACTCAGCTGCTAAGGAAGGAGAAGGGATCTTCCAATTTCAGTTACCGGTTGAATTTGAAGTGTGTTATAAAATAAGCAACACCAGTCTTTCATTATTCAGTGGTGGTGCTAGTGGGGCTATGCTCCGTTCGCGTCGGATTCTCACTTCACACCAAAAAAAACCCCCGATACGTTATTGTTCTCATCGGGAACAATGATTACACTATTCAAAAAGTTCAAATTCTAGGATAGTGATTGTGCTTTAGGTTCTCAGCTATATAACGCCGATGGTACCTCACAACAAATATTTCAATTTCCATTAACCCACGCTTATGTAATAAAAAAGAGAGCAAAAAGTGATGGCATCACACAGGCGTCTGACGAATTTTTTCAAACGCCTCTTTTAGAAATTCAGTCTCAACCTGCATTTAATTATAAGTACAATAACTCATGGGCATATAATCGATCAATGGTATGTTGAAAATTGAGGGAGCAGTGAAATTGTGTTTGCTGGATAGTGTTACTATTTGAGTATAAGATAGTCATAAGCTGCAACTGAATGAGGGCGTGGTTTGTAGAGTGTCCTCTATTCAGGATTTTCTACTTACTTAAAAAAGACACTCATTCCTGATGATGACATAATTAATGTCGAAATATTGAATCCCAACACGATGGCGTGAATTTCAATTCTTAGAGTATGTATTATACTATCTAATTTAAGATTAATCATTGGACATTTCGGTTAAAAAAGACAGCGTTTGGTCATAAACAATTCGTTCATGCACTTTCGACATAGGCCTACATGGCAATAAGGAAATATGCCTGTAGTTACATACGTCATCCCTTGCTCCACTTTTGTAGATTGGTATAGTTTTAGCAAGTCTAAGCTTCTCGGGGAAAATGCCAGTTGTGAGTGATAAATTAGTCATATAAGTTATAGGTATAGCAAATATATTTGAATTCATTTTTAAAGATTTTGCACCGATATCGTCATGATCAGGCGGTTCAAATTCGATAGATATTTTTAAATGTTATATTCAGTTAATGGAGTATAAAAAATATGGAATTTTGAAGACTGTTTTTATCCATATAATCCATAGGATTTATATCTTGGTATTGTTTATTAGCCTTTTCGGTCATTTCTTCGCCTATGTTAATAAAATAGGAATTAAATCTGTACATTTCATACCACGTTACAAAAAGAGAATTGGAGGTTTTTCATTTCCTTGTTATGCTTCTAAACTTTGGAATAATCTTCCAACTGATCTTAGAGATATCTCCGATCCGAATCTTTTTAAACGTGCACTCAAGACTTACTTGTTTGCCCAAGTCCCTTTTTGCTGCTTTTATTGTTGTAATCTGTTTATTTGTCTTTGTTGTTTGTGTGACTGTACTACTGTGATGCTTCGGGTTCCTGAATAATGACTGATCTCGGTCTACCATTGTTTTCCTCAATTATTGAGGCTTGGCTTGCGCTTCATAACCGCAAGGGAAAGGCGCAATATAAATATCCAATACCAGTACCAATACCAGTGAGAATTTAATTTCAATCATTCAGGGGGGCTTAATGCTTTATTTCTTCCCAAAATAACATTAATAGCGTTTCATGTTTTTTTTTTCATTTTGTTTTCGTTTTTCAAACTCATCTTTGTAGTAATAATGCGGTCTCACTAAAAGGCGCATACCACCGTATGCCACCGCATGCCACCGCATAACACCGCATGCCACCGCATACCACCGCATACCGCCCATAATCAGCGTTTATTTTTCTTTTTTAATGAATTATAATGTGAAATATTAATGCAAATATTACAACCATACCTCCACATAAATGGCTGTCTCTTATACACATCTAGATGTGTATAAGAGACAGCAATATTGCTGATGTACATGTTTTGTACATGAATATAATATAATCAGCGAAAGCAGTCTATTTAATTTAATCTATTTTAACATAATTGGACATAAAAATATATATGGTAGATGTAATACTAATACAGTATGTATATTGTATTTAATTATGTAATATATTATTTTAATATAATATACAGCAATTTAATACATGGTATTGATATACAAAGCATGACAAAAATGTATATTAATGTTAAGTTGTATTGTTATTCATTTTGTTTTCGTTTTTCAAACTCATCTTTGTAGTAATAATGTTTCTTTGTCTAATAATTGCTGTTAGCCTATTTTTGTACTTCTTGTATTTCAATTTATTCGCATTTGTTGGATGTTTTTTATATTCAACATACAATTTTTCTTTAGTCTTTAGTGACTATCAATTCCATTGTCATCAAGGGGATCTTAATCTATCAGTCTTAATTTCTAACCTTTTTTTAAAATGGAAAACAGCGATCGATCAGTGCTGTAAAAGTCTTCGTAAATAAATTATGATGCATTAGCATCATTACTGTTAAAAACTTTTTCCCACAGCTGATTTTCAAATTCAGTTCTGAACGTCTGGGTTTGTTCAGTGAATAAATACTTTTTTAAATATATTTGTTAGCTTTTAAATTGTGTTGTGTTTTTGTGATTTGTCGATGCTTCTTATTAGGCAATAATCAACTGTCACTAAATAAAATATTTGTATCAATGCATTATCATTTATTTCGTCTTTTCATTTACAGTACATAGTTTCAGTTTATTCTGTTATACGTGTGGTCTTATTTTAGTACAATGCCTTGAATACCATAACATAACACTGGAAACCGTGCCATTGTTTTGGCTTTCCTTTCACCCATCTATAAGCCATGTCACTATATTGGCTTTTTAGCCACGCCCCATCCTTATGTACAGAATGAATAACTTTTGTATTAACCTTTTCACACGTAGTCTCAGTTATTGTTTAGTTTTCCACCAATCAGCAGCAAGTCTCAATAGCAAAACATATAAGTATTTCCCTGTTTTGGAATTTCTGCAGATACTATTCACCTAAAGACGATTGAAGCAACTCAATCGAAACGTCGAGATATTCTTAATCAACAACAGTTAATATATATTATTACTTCGCCATGCACACCAACCTTCAAACAACTTAATTTGTCTAATACTATATGATGATCAATACAATCAAATGCATTGGATAGGCCTTGAAAAGCAGCAATGGTATATTTATTATGAATAGCGGAGATTTCTACTTAATGTAATAAGGCATGAGTTGTTGAGTGATTGGGACGAAAACCTACGTGGCAATAGGCATGGGCTTATCCGAAAGTATTGCTTGAACATATGCAGATAGTGCTTTAGAACGTATGCTAGTGATATGTAAAAGTCTCTTTTTGCTGCTTTTCCTTTTGTGTTTTTATTTTTGTAATCTGTTTATTTGTCTTTGTTGTTTGTGTGGCTGTATACTACTGTGATGCTTCGGGTTCCTGAATAATGACTGATTTTATGCCTACCATTGTTTTCCTCAATTATTGAGGCTTGGCTTGCGCTTCATAACCGCAAGGGAAAGGCGCAATATAAATACCCAATACCCTGTCTCTTATACACATCTAGATGTGTATAAGAGACAGGCTTTACGTAAGACTTTATTCCTGAATAATGACTGATTTTATGCCTACCATTGTTTTCCTCAATTATTGAGGCTTGGCTTGCGCTTCATAACCGCAAGGGAAAGGCGCAATATAAATACCCAATACCAGTGAGAATTTAATTTCAATCATGCAGGGGGGCTTAATGCTTTATTTCTTCCCAAAATAACATTAATAGCGTTTCATGTTTTTTTTTTTCATTTTGTTTTCGTTTTTCAAACTCATCTTTGTAGTAATAATGTTTCTTTGTCTAATAATTGCTGTTAGCCTATTTTTGTACTTCTTGTATTTCAATTTATTCGCATTTGTTGGATGTTTTTTTTATTCAATATACAATTTTTCTTTAGTCTTTAGTGACTATCAATTCCATTGTCATAAAGGGGATCTATCAGTCTTAATTTCTAACTTTTTTTTAAATGGAAAACAGCGATCGATCAGTGCTGTAAAAGTCTTCGTAAATAAATTATGATGCATTAGCATCATTACTGTTAAAAACGTTTTCCCACAGCTGATTTTCAAATTCAGTTCTGAACATCTGAGTTTGTTCAGTGAATAAATACTTTTGTAAATATATTTGTTAGCTTTTAAATTATGTTGTGTTTTTGTGATTTGTCGATGCTTCTTATTAGGCAATAGTCAACTGTCACTAAATAAAATATTTGTATCAATGCATTATCATTTATTTCGTCTTTTCATTTACAGTACATAGTTTCAGTTTATTCTGTTATACGTGTGGTCTTATTTTAGTACAATGCCTTGAATACCATAATAACATAACACTGGAAACCGTGCCATTGTTTTGGCTTTCCTTTCACCCATCTATAAGCCATGTCACTGTATTGGCTTTTTAGCCACGCCCCATCCTTATGTCCCTGTTTTAGAATTTCTGCAGATACTATTCTCCTAAAGACGATTGAAGCAACTCAATCGAAGCGTCGAGATATTCTTAATCAACAACAGTTAATATATATTATAATTTCGCCATGCACACCAACCTTCAAACAACTTAATTTGTCTAATACTATATGATGATCAATACAATCAAATGCATTGGATAGGCCTTGAAAAGCAGCAATGGTATATTTATTATGAATAGCGGAGATTTCTACTTCATGTAATAAGGCATGAGTTGTTGAGTGATTGGGACGAAAATCTACGAGTAGTTTTAACAAGGTAATCCCTATTATTACTTATCATAGTAAGGTTTCGTTTACAATCAAAAATCAAAAATACAATTAGTTTATCAATAAGTATAAACTCAAAATTTTCTTGAATGCTTCATAAGAAAACTTCGTTCACAAAACCGACGTTGTTGTCTGAAGTGAATGCGTACATCTAGGGTTTACCACAAACTGATAATAATACATATTATTACTTTTGCTTTGCAAACCAACCTTCAAAAAACTTAATTTAAAAAGACTGGTCAAATTGGAATCAAATGCTCCTGTTAAGTACGACCATTTTAAAATTCACATGTTAAAAAATCGAAATTGAAGAAAATTACCCCTGAAAATCAATACCTGATAACTTTTATAATTGTAATATAATTTTATAATAACAGTTTATAATTGGTTTTTTTTTTTTTGCTTTTGTTTTTTTTTAAAAACAGCTTTACTTACTGTTTCATTTTTACCTAATGCGTCACAAAAACATATTTATGTGCATAACATGTGCTAAAAAAATATAAGTATTAAACTTTTTCTGAATATATCTTAGCGGGTTTACGATACTCTATCATCGAAGTCAACGCCTATCAACGTGTTAAAGTGGTTTAACAATAATCTACGAGTATTCTTAACAAGGTAATCCCTATTATTGCTTATATCATAGTGAGGTTTCGTTTACAAGACACAATTAGTTTATCAATAATTATAAACTCAAAATTTCCTTGTATACATCATCAGAAAACTTCATTCAGAAAATCGACGTATGTTGTACTGAATGCGAAGCCTATATCTAGTGTTTACCACAAACTTTGCAAACGTTGCTAGACACTGTTGCATTTGAAGAACACAAAACTCGTCTGTCCTTTCGGCGTACTAGGATTACTGGAACATCGTTTTTAAAGAGTTTCGCTAAAATATACATTAAAAACCAGTATAATATATCCATGTACTGTTCAGTCGAAACTTCACAAAAAAAAAATCTTGGTCTACCAGAT